TCCATTTAAAAGCCTCTTCCAGCAAACTTTGGATGAGGTCGAAAAACTTGGAGAAAAGCAGTTGAGACCAAGCTATCCGCATAATCCTTGCGTTACAGCACCACTATCTAGTTCTGAGCTCCGATCGCCGGCGAACTAAGCAGATTCGAACTCTTTCGACTTGAGCTTCTACTGTGTACTGAAGCTCTCCAGCAACCTCGATCGAACGGTCCAAGGGAAGCAGACTCGACACGAGCATCGAGCGAAGCGTCCTACAGCCACCTAAAGTCCCCACACAAAACAAAGAGGGCATTCCTTCTGCTTCTGTTGTAAACATTTGATCATTAGTTTGTAATAAGCCTTCTTATCAATACAAACGAAACTCCCTATTCTCGGGAAATCAAATTTACACCCTACAGTGATCAGAACTCTAACGGACGTACGGCACGTTTCTGACTTACGGAAGAATCTTATCTCAGTTGGTGTCTTGGACTCCGGTGGCTACAAGATTGTTACAGAGGACGGAGTGAAGAAGGTTGTTCGAGGTTCCCTAACAGTGATGAAGGGTGTTCGTCACGATAATCTATATACTCTCTCGGGTACGACGGTGATAGGAGATGCAGCAGTTAGAACTGAAGGAAGTGGTGGAGACCCATGTGAGCACACACATTTATGGCATAGGCGGTTTGGGCACATGTCACAGAAGGGTCTAGTTCTGCTTGGTAAGGAGGGTTTGCTAAAGAATCTGAAGAAACCTTGCATGGATTTTTGCGATGATTGTGTGTATGGAAAGGCACACAGGGTCCAGTTCTTAAAAAGCAATCACAATAGTAGAGGTATACTAGATTATGTGCACACGGATGTTTGGGGTCCGGCTCAAACAACTTCCAAGGGTGGTTCCAGGTATTTTGTCTCGTTCATAGATGATCATTCGAGGTATGCTTGGATTTATTTTCTTAAGCATAAGAATGAGGTATTCGATACATTCAAGAAGTGGAAAGCAATGGTTGAGAACAGGACAGACAAGAAATTGAAGATACTAAGATCTAACAACGGTACAGAGTATACAGATGGTGCTTTCAAGAAGTTCTGTGATCAGGAGGTCATTGTTCGACACTGGACAGTCAGGTCAACACCATAGCAGAACGGGGTCGTGGAGAGATTGAACCGAACATTGCGGGAGAAGGCAATAAGTATGTGATCTTATGCTAGATTGGGCAACGAATGGTGGGCAGAAGCGGTGGCTACAGCATGTTACATTGTGAACTATTCTCCATATTCTACACTAGATGGTGATACACCCTATAGGGTGTGGTCAGAGGACATGCAGATTATGAGAGGCTCAAAATTTTTGGATGTACCGCCTATTATCACATCAACGAGGGAAAGCTTGACGTGAGGGCCAAGAAGGTGATATTCTTGGGGTATGCAAAGGGCATAAAAGGCTACCGTCTTTGGTGTACAGAAGATTCAAAGTTCGTGATCAGCAGGGACGTTACCTTTGATGAGAAATCCATGATTGCTAGGACGCCCATGGATGATGGTGTTGGGACTGTTAGGACTTTAAAGTCCCAGGTTATTGAGATAGAACCTAAAGACCAACCTGGTTCTGGTCATGTTCAAGTGGGAAATCAGGTAGATGATGAGCTTGAGCAGGAGGAGGTTCAGATACTTTGGCTTCCACTAGGCCAAAGCAAGCATACAAGTAGGTACAGAAGCTGGGGGCTGATCAACCCCTGAAGCACTATGGGCAGGTTAATTTGGTTGAATACGCACTCTCGATAAAGGAAGATGAGTCGGTCTCCTTCAAGGAAGCTATTCGGGACAAAGATAGTGAGAGTTGGTTGGCTACGATGGAGGAGGAGATGGAATCTCTTCGGAAGAACCAAACATGGGAGGTGGTCCCATTGCCCGTAGGAAGAAAAGCTATTGGTTGTAAGTGGGTGTATAAGAGAAAGGAAGATCCTTCAGAGCTCGATGTCACAAGGTACAAGGCAAGGCTAGTGGCTAAAGGGTTTGCACAAAGAGAGGGTGTGGATTACAATGATATATTTTCTCCAGTGGTGAAACACACTTCTATTCGGGTGCTATTGAGTATTGTCGCTCATGGTGATCTTTAGCTGGAACAACTCGATGTTAAAACGACCTTCTTGCACGGAGACTTGGATGAAGAGATCTACATGCATCAACCTAAGGGCTACAAGGTTGAGGATAAGGAGCATCATGTATGTCGCTTGAGGAAGTCACTCTATGACTGAAGAAATCTCCTCGGCAGTGGTACAAGCGATTTGACTCCTTCATGCTAAAGCATGGGTTTTCCTGAAGCAATTACGATTGTTGTGTTTAAATTCGGAAGCTTCGTGGAGGTGATTATATCTAGCTCCTTTTGTATGTGGATGACATGCTTATTGCTTCGAAGAGTAGGGTGGAGATAGATAGGCTGAAATCTCAACTTGGTAACGAGTTCGAGATGAAGGACATGGGCGCTGCTAGGAAAATACTGGGTATGGAGATTAGGAGAGAGCGGGTAAAACGACGATTGTTTTTGAGTCAGAAGGGCTACATAGAGCGGGTGATCGCAAGGTTCAAGATACAAATTGCAAAGTCGGTGGCGACTCCATTGGCTCCACACTTTAGGCTTTCAGGTAAACAATCTCCCACTATAGCGGAAGATAAGGCACACATGGAGCGTGTTCCTTATGCTAGTGCAGTTGGAAGTTTGATGTATGCCATGGTGTGTACACGTCTAGATATTTCACAGGCAGTTAGTGTGGTCAGCAGGTTCATGGCGAATCCGGGAAAGACGCACTGGGAAGCGGTGAAATGGGTCCTGAGGTACTTAAAGGGTACTGCAGATACGGGTCTGTGTTTTGGTGGAGATACATGTCAGATTGATGGGTTTGTTGACTCGGATTATGCGGGAGATCTAGATAGACGACGATCTACTACTGGTTATGTATTCAGGATACATGGAGCTCAAGTTAGTTGGCGATCGATGTTACAGGTTATAGTGGCACTTTTTACTACAGATGCCGAGTACATGGCCATGGCGGAGGGAGTGAAGTAAGCATTGTGGTTGTGGGATCTTCTAGATGATTTGGGGATTGAGCAGGAGAACGTGAACTTGTGGTGCGACAATCAGAGTGCGATTCACTTGGCAAAGAATCAAGTTCATCATGCTCGTACCAAGCATATTGATGTCAGGTATCATTTTGTGCGGGATGTCATAGAGGAAGGTGATATTTCTCTCATGAAGGTGCACATGAATGAGAATCCCGCAGACATGTTAACCAAGGTGGTCACAAGTAGCAAGTTTAAGCATTACTTGGACTTGCTTCATATCAACCCGTGTTGATTTGCCCAAGAGGGCATGGCCCTTTCAGGGCGGTGATGGGGTGAGGTGGAGACTATGATGGAGAACAATAGCAGAACTACGGTTAGCTTGATCCCGGTGGAGGGTACGTGGCAGCCGCGGTAAAGTGACGCAGCTGATTTGGCCTGGTTTGGCCGATGGAGATCTTTCTGGTGATGTCCGCGGTGCTTTTCTGGTGTTCATCCAAAATTTGAGCTTTATCAAATGATGTACGAGGTGGAGAATTGTGAGTGGAGGCCACTCATGTGGACGACAACAACCTAACGTTTGTGAGCGCGTGAGGAGATAGCGATCAGCGACAGCGGATATTTTTTTTCTCGTTTCAACACCGGCCCGTGTTCCTATAAATAGAATAGCTTCTAGGGTTTTTTGAGGTGTGGGAAAAGACTACGGAAAAGAAAAAGGGCAGAGAGGTTGAAAAAAACTTTTCGGCTGCAGGGTAAAAACAGAGGGTTTTAGAGGAGAAAAAGAGAGTTTTTTCAGATCTAAAAGAGAGATCTTGAGGAGAGAAAAAGATGGATTTATAAAAGAGAGATCAATTTCTTTTGGGTAAAAATCAGATCTTTTTTTTCTTTGAGACGAGCTTGTGGATTATACAAGTCGCCGGTGTTCTCCTCATAGTGGTATCTCCCCTCACCCCTCCCGTGGACGTAGGCAATTTTACCGAACCACGTAAATCTCGTGTCTTTATTGTTTTCTGGGTGTTGACTATTGCTTGTAGGTTCCCTCGACATTTCAGTCCTAGAATTGATGAGAGGATGAGTGCATATTTCACTTTGTTGAAATATTTCACTTTCTATTCTAGTTTCCTTTGAGAAACAAGAATTTCACTATCTATTCTAGTTTTCTTTGAGAAACAATAATATAGAGGTTGACTTGTGCTTTTGTGACAACAAAAGACATGGCTTTCTCTCAGTTGATATTGCTTCCGCAGCGGTGAGCGTGACTCTGCGCCCAACAGTCTCGCATCCATTTTGTAGAGGTTAGATTGGGAACAGATATGAAGTGACATTTGGTCCCCCATCGGATAGAGTGAAATGGATTGATGTTTAAATATGCTTGGACTTATAAGCCAATTAGAATTTGTCCTTTCCAGTCAATTGGGTCAAATTAAATAAACCTAATCTATTGATCGAATTAATATATAGTCACGCGGACAATATATATATAATAAGAAATGTTTTTCAATTTGACTTTATCCTATTCTATTTCTAACTTAAGTCCTTGCACATCCAAGACGACTTTCTCAAGCCATTCCGAGCTAATTACTAATCGTTTATTTATTTATCGGGAAACTTGCACGTTCCAGACGGCTTTTCTGACTGGAAAAAACTAAAATGAAAAAAAAAGACTCAACCACTCCGAGCTAATTATTTATGTTAACCATTAATTCCCCGTCAGACCATGCTTGTGAATCGGAGCGCAACCACCAAACTTTGACCCTAAATTAAGCGATGTGGACAATTCCTTCATTGTCAATGTAGTGTATAGCTACCCTACTACGCCATCAAGTTGGATCCGAACGCAGTTGTCGAAACAAGCCACCGTCGTATTTAATTCTCTATCCGTTTGAATGGAGCATGCTCGATTTCAATTTAGCTATAAAAACTACGTACTCATATTCTAAAGAACCAAGCATTACTATATATATATAGCAAACCTTACAAAATCATTCTCTCACAAAACGCAAATAATCTCAAGAATGGCGAGAGCATCATCAACAGAAGAGGAAGCTGTTTCAGCTGAGGAAATGTTGGCAGCCCAAGCGCAAGTGTACAATGTGGTGATGGGGCATATAGGAACCATGTGTCTAAAATCCGCTATCGAGCTCAACATACTTGAAATCGTCCATAATGCACATGTTCTATCACACTCGGATCTCCTCTCGAAACTACCCAACGTCCCACCCTGGAAGTCCCCCTTCGTTCATCGCATCATGCGTCTCCTCGCTCAAATGGGTTACTTCAAGATCGGAAACAAAGATGAAGAGGTACTGTACTCTCTCACTCCTCTTTCTAAGATGTTCCTGCTCAAAAACAAACCTCTCAGCCTCTCCCCATACCTTGGCCTGTTAACCCCTCCCTGGACAAACGTATGGTACTCCCTAAGCGACTGGCTGCAGTCTGATGGCAAGGGATGCATGTTTGAGTTCGAGCATGGCAAATCTACGTGGGATATTGCGAGTCACAACCCTGAACTCAACTCGGGTTTTAACGAGGCTATGGCCGCGGATTCACGTGTAATTATGAAGGCAGTGGTTGACCAGTGTAGTGAGGCTTTCAAGGGTTTGCATACCCTTGTCGACGTTGGTGGGGGCACCGGAACTTCTGCACTTGCCATTGCACAAGCACACCCAGGCCTGAAGTGCACCGTCTATGACCTTCCTCATGTTATTGCGTCTGTGCCCCCGAACTCGCTCATTGATGCTATCAGTGGGAACATGTTCGAGAGTATTCCACAAGCTGACGCCATATTTTTAAAGGTAAGATATTCTTTTCCAGTCTCTTCAAAATATTTATCATAAATTAATTGCAAGAAATTCTCTTATGTAAAAAAAATTCAACCAAAAACCACTTCATATAAGACCGTTACTGAAATATTCAGCTTTTAACAGAGTTTGAGAGGTCTGCACTTTGAGAGAATTTGTGGTTATTGGTGACACTTTGTTTCACTGTGTCTTCTCTTTTAACTTAATTAACAAAGCTCCTTGTTTCTTTTGTTCCCCTCTTAGATTTGGCCGAAAGTTCATGGTCGATCTTCTTTTATAAACATTTTGTACAACTACGAAAAAATTATATAAATTTCAAATGCAATGAACAAAACTCTGATCTAAAACTAACAGCTTCATTCACGGTCATAGATAAGGGGCTTCATTGTTGAAGTTTTAGAAGAGTGGGTTTCCTTTATAAATAAAACAGGGTATAGATCGACAATGTGATTTTTCTGCAATATTTATCCAAAAATATTTATGCATGCACCAGCGCACCGCACCGCACTTCAAGTCCTATCGTGTTTGCTAACAAGTCTTAAACAATTTATCACAGTGGATATTGCACGATTGGACTGATGAAGATTGCGTCAAAATACTTAAGAAATGCAAGGATGCCATACCTAACGGAGGAGGAAAGGTTATTATAGTCGATTTTGTGTTGAATGATAATAAGAATTCCTCGGAGACATTCACACAACTATTATTTGATGCTAGTATGATGGCTTATACTGATGGAAAGGAACGCACTGAATATGAGTGGAAGAGAATATTTCTTGACGCAGGTTTTACTGACTACAAAATTACTCCTATTGGATTGCGCTCCTTGATCGAAGTGTTTCCTTAAATTGTCCCAAACTTTATCCCGTATATTGAAGATTTTTGTAGTACTACTACCTACTACCTACTATATATCCATGTCTCTATGCATACAAGCATATATGTACTCCCAAAAACTCATTCTAAATAAAAACATGAGTTGGAATGTCTTCTCAAGGTTTTATTGATTATTGTCTTGTACTTTATGCTAAGGAGGTACAATTCTCCTGTATATGGCTATAATCTAAAGCAAGAAGCTACAATTTGTTAAATAATTTTTTCAAAAGAAAACATGGGCTGCTGCAGCAGCCCATGCATGTGATGATTATTTTTTCAAAAGTGGTAGGCCCCACCGAAGAAATTTTTGTACGTGGGGCCACATGCATAGTAAAATATATTATTTTATTAGTGCATAGTATTTTCCCAAACGCTATAAATAGACCCCAAATCCTTAAGGAAAATTCATTCTAAAAATAACAATCAATATATACAGATATAGATTGTAAAATAACTGGTGCTTATAGGAATTTTGCTTGATAGATCGAGAAGATCTTTTGCCTGATACATCGAGAAGATCTTTTGCCTAATAGATCGAGGAGATCTTTTGCCTGATAGATCGAGGAGATCTTTTGCCTGATAGATTGAGGAGATCTTTTGCCTGGTAAATAAAAAATTTTATTCATCACCAATATGAGAAATGTATATACATCAATCATCTCGTCATTTGTATGAGATAGCAAAAGAAAACCTGAAAGCTAAAGCTCAAGTGAACTCTTATGTACAGAGTATAGAAAGCATGAGCATAGTTATAAAGCTAAGATCCCCTAAAGCTCAAGTGAACTCTTATGTACAGAGTATAGAAAGCATGAGCATAGTTATAAAGCTAAGATCCCCTTAACCAGTCGAATTTGCACTGTCAACAAGCACCTTACAGTAAGCTGAAAACCTGATCTATAAAGATAGTATACAGTCTTTATTCTCTACAGCAGTATCGCTATTTAGAATGGCTGTCATCGGATCCACCTTGATGATCTTGATAACAATCATTATATCTCTGCTTTTTTGTTTAAAGATCCTCCCATTCCGTTCAGTCCAGATATTATAGATAGTGGATGTAAATGTTGTTCTTTTAACTTTGTGCTTGAACCTTTTCCCCCTTAAGTTGCAGCTATACCAATTCAATAATTGGTTTAAATCACAACTTCTCCACCTAAAACAGAGCCATTCCATTATTCCATTCTAGACATCCTTAAAAAATTTGCATTCAAAGAACAGATGATTAGAGCTTTCTGTTTCTGCTCCCGAGCATAAAAAACAGATTGATGAGATCTTTGCCTGATAGATCGAGGAGATATTTGCCTTATACATCGAGGAGATCTTGATAGTACTGGGTCGGTGCACACCAGAGTACTAGACTGTTGTTCCTGAAAGCAATTTGGCCTTGGGATCCTTGCACCGAAATAGGCCAAATAATGCTTTAAGCACAGCATTTTACAAACACTCAGCAGTTGAGTTGAAAATTCTAAATTACTATACTTTAATTTTCTGTTCAGCTTTTGCTATTATATATCTGTATTATTTCAGATTTAACCACATGCGTCAACAATCTGAAAGCATTAATTTGATCTACCATGGATCCTACGAGGACTCTTGGAGTGGACTGTCTTAAGTTAAAGAACTTTGACGGTTCCAACTTCAATGCATGGTGTCGGAAAGTAATTTTCGGGATGCAACTCCTGAAAATCTACTATGTGGTTTCTGAGGAAAAACCCGACTCTAAAGAAGACTCTGAAGTTGAAGCCTCTTGGGCTAGAGATGATCACTTTTGCAGGAATTATCTCCTTAACATCCTGGCCGATCATCTAGCAGATGTTTACACCAACAAGCCCTCTGTAAAGAAAATATGGGATGCTCTGGAGGATCAGTACAAGGATGAGGAGAAGCTGTCCAAATCTCACCTCATTGACAAATTTCTGGACTTGAAGTTAGAAGATGATACTGAGGTTTTACCTCAAGTCAAAGAGCTTGAAAAGCTTGTTATGAAGCTGAATGATGAAAAGATTAGTCTTTGTCAAACCTTCATCTTTGGTGAAATTGTCAACAAGTTTCCTCCATCTTGGATGTCATTCTTCACTGATATTCGAAGAAGAAAAAGTCAGGTGACTCTGTCTGACTTGAAGAGGTTTATTCGGATCGAGGACGAGACTCGGACTCGCACGAAGACTGAGCTCATTGCTAAGCAGAAGGCGTCTGCTAGACTCGGACTCGCACGAAGACTGAGCTCATTGCTAAGCAGAAGGCGTCTGCTAACATGGTGGCTGCTAACTCTGAAAAGGGTAATAATTCATCTTTCAAGAAGAAGAAGTCTTTTAACAGAAAGAAGAACCAGAATCTGAAGAACCTGAACGTTCAGAAGAAGTAGTTCAAGAAGAGCGGCAAATGCTTCAACTGTGGGAAGCAAGGACATTTTGCCAAAGACTGCAGAGCACCAAAGAAGGAAACAACACACAATGTCAATCAAGTTGATGATTGTGTGGCCATGCTCTTTCAGGTAACAACTCCAAGCAACATCTCTAGTTGGTGGTTAGATACGGGTGCTACTTGTCATGTATGCTCCAATAAAGATATGTTCTATTCTTATGTTGCTACCAAAGAGAACGTATCAATGGCTGATCGTTCTGTGGTTCCGGTTCTTGGAACTGGGACTGTGGTGCTGACTCTTTCTTCAAGAAAGACTCTCACATTGAAGGATGTAAAACACGTTCCTCAATTGCCAAAAACTTAGTCTCTGAAAGCATGTTGTGTGATGCAAGCATGAGGCTGGATTTTCAAGGAGGAAAGGCTGTATTATCCTTCAAAAAAGTATATTTTGGCAATGCATATCGTACTGATGGCATGTATAAAATCAGTACGAGTGCACCCAATCCCATTGTAAATGAAGTATCCTCTTCTGGTTACTCCTCTGTGTTATGGCACAATAGACTGGGACATGTAAATTATAGAAAACTGTCCAGCATGGAAAAGTTAGGATTACTTCCAAAATGTGGGGGTAACAAACCTGAGAAATGTGAAGTTCGCGCGCAAGCAAAGCTGATGAGGAAGCAATTTTCAAGTGTCACGAGGAGCACCAACCTGTTGGATCTGATTCATTCAGATACTTGTGACTTCAAAAGCTTCATCAATCATGGCGGAAAGAAGTACTTCATCACCTTCATCGACGACCATTCTCGCTTCTGCCATGTTTACCTGCTAAATCTAAAGATGAAGCATTCAGCAAATTTGTTGAGTTTCGGACACGAGTGGAGAAGCAGCTTGGATTGCATGTGAAAAGACTCAGGAGCGACAGAGGAGGAGAATACCGATCTAAAGAATCGAAAGCATATTTCAAGGAGAATGGAATCATTGCAGAAACTACTACTCCGTATTCTCCACAATCTAATAGGATTATAGAAAGAAAGAATCGCACATTGACCGAAAATGGTGAATTCGATACTAATTACATTTGGTCTACCTACCTGCTATTGGGGAGAGACTTTGCTAATGGTGAACTGGATTTTGAACAGAGTACCCTATTCCAAAACTGGTAGTACTCCTCATCAGTTATGGTTGGGATATCCAGATTCTTTGGATAGTCTCAAAGTGTGGGGATGTCTTGCATATGTTCAAATTCCAGATATCAGAAGGCCTAAGCTTGGACCAAAGGCAAACAGATGTGTGTTTCTTGGCTTTGCTGGAGATAGCAATGCATGTAGGTTCCTAGACCTTGGAACCAACTCCATCATCGAAGCTCAGGATGCAGAATTCTTTGAGGATAAGTTTATCAAACATAAAAGCTTATTGCTCAAAGATGTAGCAGAGAATGCTAATACATCAAATGCACAAGAGGAGCCAGTCAATGATGAAGGAGTTATCGAACCACCTTCCAAGCGCGTCAAAAGACAGAAAGATTTTGGAGATGACTTCATCACCTATAATATGGAAGGAGATCCACAGACTTTTCAAGAAGCAATGCAGTCAACAAACGTTCTTCTGTGGAAAGAAGCTATAGATGATGAGATGGATTCATTGATCCAAAATCATACTTGGGAGCTGGTGGATGTGCCTGAAGGTGCAAGGCCTATCAATTGTAAGTGGATCTTTAAGAAGAAGCTTCGTCCTGATGGTACTATTAAAAAGTACAAAACAAGACTAGTGGCGAAAGGATTCTCTCAGAAAGAAGGTATAGATTTTTTTTGATATCTATGCACCAGTTTGCAGGATCACTACCATCAGAGTGCTTATCGCATGGGCGGCGATTAAAAAGTTCATAATGCATCAGATAGATGTGAAGACTATCTTTCTCAATGGAGATCTCACAGAAGAAATCTACATGGAAAAACTATAAGGACTTGATGCTCCACCTGGTAAGGTTTGTAAACTTGTTAAGTCATTATTGGACTTAAGCAGGCACCAAAACTCTGGCATGAGAAGTTCGATGGCGTTGTTCGCAACAATGGGTATCAAGTCAGTAAATCTGATAATTAAGTGTCTATATATCAAGGTCATTGAAAGAAATGTGGTGATCATCTGCCTCTATGTGGATGATATGCTCATCATAGGGAGTGATTTGGATATTATAATATCTACCAAGAAATTTCTTTCAGCACAGTTCAGCATGAAGGACTTTGGAATTGCGGACGTGATTCTCGGAATCAAAATCATATACTTTGAAGAGGGTATTGGATTGTCCCAATCTTATTATGTCGAGAGCATGCTAAGGAAGTATGGCTACTACGACCTGCCAGAACTATCAGTGCCATATGATTACAACAAGAAGCTTCAACCGAACACTGGAAGGCTAGTAGAGCAGCTGAGGTACTCAAAGATCATTGGGAGTCTTATGTACGCGATGAGCTGCACAAGGCCAGCTATAGCATTCGCTGTAGGAATGCTTAGTAGGTTCACAAGTAATCCTGGAAATCTTCATTAGGATGCTGTCAAAAAATTGATAATATACTTGAAAGGAACCACAGGTCTGAGCCTATTCTACACTGGATATCCGGGTGTAATCGAAGGCTATTCAGATGCGAGCTGGTGCTCAGAACCAGATAAGTGCAGATCTACTGGAGGATTTGTCTTCACCATGGGTGGAGCTGCCGTCTCGTGGAAGTCTAA